TTGCATTAATATTCTATTGCTTAAAACAAATACAAATAAAACATCTTAAATATTTTTTGAGCCAAGAATTAAGAAGGAAATACATTTCCAATTTTGGACTAGGGGGGACCCTAGTCAAAATCAATTTTCTCACTTTTTTCTTCGAGGGTTTATCCAAATGGATCGAAACTTTGCATAAATATTTAAATGCTTAAAAAAAATACAAATAAAACATCCTAAAATTTTTTTGGACCAAGAACCAAGAAGGAAATACATTTTCAATTTTGGACGAGGGGGACCCTAGTCAAAATCAATTTTGTCACTTGTTTCTTCGAGGGTTTATACAAATGGATTGAAACTTTGCACAAATATTCAAGTGTTTAAAACAAATACAAATAAAACATCTTAAAATTTTTTTGAGGAAAGAACCAAGGAGGAAATACATTTTTAATTTTGGACTAGGGGCGACCCTAGTCAAAATCAATTTTGTCACTTTTTTCTTCGAGGGTTTATTCAAATGGATTGAAACTTTGCATAAATATTCAAGTGCTTAAAACAAATACAAATAAAACATCTTAAAAACTTTTTGAGCAAAAAACCAAGTAGGAAATACATTTTCAATTTTGGACTAGGGGCGACCCTAGTCAAAATCAATTTTCTCACTTGTTTCTTCGAGGGTTATAAAAATGGATTGAAACTTTGCATAAATATTCAAGTGTTCAAAACAAATACAAATAAAACATCTTAAAATTTTTTTGAGCCAAGAACCAAGAAGGAAATACATTTTCAATTTTGGAAAAGGTGGGACCCTAGTCAAAATCAATTTTGTCACTTTTTTCTTCGATGGTTTATCCAAATGGATTGAATCTTTGCATAAATATCCTTGTGCTTAAAACAAATACAAATAAAACATCTTAAAAACTTTTTGAGCAAAAAACCAAGTAGGAAATACATTTTCAATTTTGGACTAGGGGCGACCCTAGTCAAAATCAATTTTCTCACTTTTTTCTTCGAGAATTTATCCAAATAGATTAAAACTTTGCATAAATATTTAAGTGCTTAAAACAAATACAAATAAAACATCTTAAAATTTTTTTGAGCCAAGAATTAGGAAGGAAATACATTTTCAATTTTGGACTAGGGGGGACCCTAGTCAAAATCATTTTTGTCACTTTTATCTTCGAGGGTTTATCCAAATGGATTGAAACTTTGCATAAATATTCAAGTGCTTAAAACAAATACAAATAAAACATCTTAAAATTTTTTTCAGCAAAGAACCAAGTAGGAAATACATTTTCAATTTTGGACTAGGGGCGACCCTAGTCAAAATCAATTTTCTCACTTGTTTCTTCGAGGGTTTATCCAAATGGATCGAAACTTTGCATAAATATTTAAATGCTTAAAACAAATACAAATAAAACATCCTAAAATTTTTTTGAGCCAAGAACCAAGAAGGAAATACATTTTCAATTTTGGAAAAGGTGGGACCCTAGTCAAAATCAATTTTGTCACTTTTATCTTCGAGGGTTTATCCAAATAGATTAAAACTTTGCATAAATATTCTAGTGCTTAAAACAAATACAAATAAAACATCTTAAAATTTTTTTGAGCCAAGAACCAAGAAGAAAATACATTTTCAATTTTGGACTAGGGGCGACCCTAGTCAAAATCTAGTTTTTCACTTTTTTTCTTCGAAGGTTTATCCAATTACAGTGAAACTTGGAGTGAGTATACTAATATTTATACAAAACAGTTTTAAATATCTAAAGGAATAAATTTATTCTATATGTCGTCAGACCCAAATTTTATAAATTTGGTTGTACATTCAAAAACAACGTGACTTAAAATTTTGTCCAAAAAAATGATTTTTATTAATTTAGAAATGTGTGACCTGAGGATTAAAATGCTCATACAAAAATTTACTGTATTTGGCAAGTATTTGGATTTATCCTCGAAGAAAAAAAAGTGAAAAACTAGATTTTGACTAGACCTGTCCCAAGTTCATAATTGAAAATGTATTTCCTACTTGGTTCTTTGCTCAAAAAAATTTAGGATGTTCTTTTTGTATTTGTTTTAAGTATTAGAATATTTATGCAAAGTTTCAATCCATTTGGATAAACCCTCGAAGAAAAAGTGACAAAATTGATTTTGACTAGGGTCGCCCCTAGTCCAAAATTGAAAATGTTCTTTGCTCAAAAAAATTTTAAGATGTTTTATATGAATTGACATAATTCTGACATAAATCACGTACCAATATTACTTTTTGTAATGCATAGCTTAAAAAAAACGAAATCTAAAATTTCGACTACCCCATCTGAATTTTGTTCATACTCTTCACTGTGGAAACCAAATTCTTTATCTTAAAACACATTACAAAATAGCGACATAATTCAGGATTAATTACTTTTTAATAATATTTTAACATTTATGAGAAAATATGGTTCAAATACGTGTGAAGTATGGCCGAGATTTGGACCAAAATCAGCTATACTGGTTCATAGTGTTCCCGAGGGTGACAAACTTCAAACTAAGTGTTTTTGTAGCTGACATAATTATAACATAAATTAGGTATAACTTTTGAACTGTGTCGATATGAGACTCGGCCGTACTTCATGCCCACCCTTCAAACTTATGCTGAGCAAATCTTGGTCTATCCATAAGACTTTTGATGGTACGGTGTGAATATATCCGCATTGGGTTTCTACCCGATACACTAGTTTATGTATGTTCTTTTTCAAATAATTCAATTTCAATTTATTCATTTAAAATTGTGCAACAGTGATACTTAAACCTTTAAGCGCTACAATTTTTCTTTTTCTTTATTATGTCCGCTATCTCAGTATATAGCATAATCTTCACTAAGCAGTTGTGTGGCCAGCAGTCAATTAAAAACTGTTCAGATCTTAGAACTAGTGTTCATGTTGGCTCTCGTTCCAATTTTCAGTAGGTCACAATGTCTCCGGGTCCGCTCCAGCAAAAGCCCTAAATGATGAATTTACAGCATTCGTATCTTTCTCATTCTGTTTACATAATTCTTGACCCGTTCTTACATCTCACATCGCCTAATTCTTATTTTACGTCTTATACTTCTGCACCTAAGAAGCCGAAACATCTAAACTTCTGAAAAATCACCAGGCTGGTCGTAGGATTTAAATTCGGGAGTCAAAATTTAACACCAAATTTTGTGACCTTGCCAACTGAGCTATCAAGGAACTTTTTCTTTCTTAATAATGTAATTTTGCGGTTAAATATTTTAAATTTCCTTAAACAAGTACATACAGTTTTCTTACGACAGTTTCTCATTCCAAAATTTATTTCAATAGGAAATCTTTGAATAGTCACACAAAACCATTCATAATTTTATTATATCTCATTGCTTTATATGTTTGTCTCCCCTCAACATAAATTGTATGTTTTCTATGTAATTGTTTGTAGATTTATGTGCGATCTTACATGTACCATTACTTACTTATCCTTTTTGTCAGTTTCATAGCTCATACTCTCTTACTCGATTCATAAAAATAAATATTGAATATATTGTAATGTTTTCAATGAAAGTTTTCTGATTCGAGATAAGAGAAAATTGAGAGAGAATGTAGAAAATTGCATAAAATGTAAAAATCGATCGATAAATGACGTGCGCAAAAGTTTACATCTATACATTGTTTTCCTAAACTATATGCACTGAAACATCAAAGCTTTGTAAAACATTGAAAGTTCGTGAATTATATGAATGAAAATTTTGTAGATTGATTTTGAAGTACATTTTTTTTCTAATTAGCATAATACTATAGTCATGAAGTGAAACTTATAGATTATACTGATATTTTATATTATGGTAGAGACATGAATCATTGATATATTAATTTAAAAATATAGTACATTTAATAAGAATATGACTAATAAACTCTGCCAACAGTAAGTAAAATGTTTGTAAACGATTATTTTGAGTATGGAGCACCCTATACTTTACAATCCATCCTACTACAAACGTACTCTTCTCTTAACAGCGCATGTTTTCCAATGTTTCAAAAATATTTTTTTTACAACACCGATAAAGCATGGATTTTACTCATACAAATTTTTCATTCTGCTTTTTTCATTTTTACGCAAGTTTCACGAACCAGAGAAGAAAATGTGTAAAGCTTATACACCTACATTCAAAAACATTCCATAAAATGAGAGAAGTAGCAAATTACATTATCAAACATTGAAAATCTCAGTGCATTGAATGTTGAAAAGGAAAAATTTATTTGAGAATGGTCAGATTTTCAACGTTTTCTGAGTTTGTGTTGAGCATTCGTGAAGTGAAGCCTTAAATGTAAGGATTGTGTGAAAAATTATTTAATTTTTTTTTTCTTACTTTTATTTCATTAAATAGTTATCAAATTTTTATAAAAATATGCAATAAGTGTTCACTAAATCTTAATTAATCCAGCATTTCTCTTTTTCTAATATTTTAAACCAAATTTAATGGAGAAAAAACCTACTCAATTTTTTTCCAATTGAACAAAAAAATGGATGATGGAAAAGGGACAAAGATTTTTTCTTCTCTTTTTTCCATAAAAAAAAAGAAAAAAGGAAATAAAAAAATAAAATAAAGGAAAAAGATGAAATGTGAATATAGAATAAATGTGGAGAGCTTCATCTTGTGTCAAGTGGATGGAGAAATATTAAATAAAAGAATGAATTCTCCTTTGAATTTAGAACAAAATATATATATTTAAATATATATGTAAAGTTATCTTTCACTTCATATCGTGATCTTAATTCATTTCATAGTCAAGTATATATTTTTTTTTGCTCTTCAATTTCCATTTATTACGAGATTTGTTTTACTAATACAATCGACACAAAGAAGCAGAAATTTAGTGAACCTTGAGGGAAAACATACAACCAAGAGAAAAAATTATTTTCATTGATTTTCTTACCTTTTTCTTTTTATTCTTTCTTTTTCACATATATCTGAAATTGCCGTCTGCTGATTTATCTTCTTAATATTTTTTTTTTCATAACAACAGTGTTTGTTGAACAACACAAATGTCATTGAAAATGAAGACATAGATAATAAAAGAATTAAATTACTATTATCTGTGTATTAAGAAAGATGAAAAACACTAAAATGTCAAGTGAAGAGCGTAAAAAAGGTGAAAAAACTCTTTAGCTTGTACAATAATGGAACGCTTATTTTGGTGGAAAAGGAGTGAAAATCGAAGCTAGTGAGAAAAAAAAGAAGAAACAAATATAGAAAAAAAATCAATATAGTTAATTTTTGATGAAAAACACGACAAAATAGAAATGTCAAGAAGAAATAACAATTGTTTTGTGGGAAAAAAAATCATTTCCAACTAGTGGTGCAAAAAGTAAAAAGGATCCATTTTGGAGGGAAAAAGCTTTTATTGATTAATGAAAAGAGGAAAAAATTTAAAGAATAGGTGTGAATAAAGTTTGACGTGATGTAAACGTTGAGTAAGCCTTGCCGTGTGGATACTGAAATTGAAAAAATTCCATAATAGTATAGTGGATATTATCGTGTACATATGAATAAAAGAACCGTTATATGGAATTAAAAATAAATTGAAATTTTTATATTACAAAGTGTCGTGAGAAAGTGTAAAAGAGAAGGAGTGAGAGAGAGAGAAAATTCTTTTCACACACGGAAGAGCTGAAAAACCAACCGATTTGTTCATTCTGTGTGTTATTTTTTTCTTATTGCGATTTCAACTGAGAGAAATACATACCGACGTATCCATATAGGAAATCCAAAATGGCGGAATATGATAATATACAATTAAACTCTAATTATCAACCATATTATAAACGTAATAAAGTAAATGACAACAGCTTAGTGTCTGATACAAAATCGACCCGAAAGAAAATTAATCATAATGATAATGAAATAATAACATCACTAGCACATAAAAGGCCAAAAACAAGTTATTGTAGTTTTACTATCACTACAAAGAATAATAGAAATAATAATAAATATAACGATGAAATAATAAATAAAAGTAATAACAGGAATGATATGCATAAATCTGTAACAACAGCATTGTTTAGCGATAGCACGAAACCACCATTTGTAGCAGATTCCCAACTTCTTATCATTGATCGCAACAATATTATTGATAAAAATATGAGCTGTACAAAAACAACAATATCACCACTAAAAAAATGCATCGATAATTACAATAATAATGATAATAATACTAAATCCTGTAAATCCTCGATTAAAAAATATTTTAGTTGTTATAACAAATCAAATAATTTACTTAAGTTAGCATTGTTATTAATAATCGGTTTGATGTTTAAAGTTAATCTATGTTGTGCTTTTCAATTGACCGGATCTGAAAACTCTTATGCAATGTTCCGAAAATGGTATGCTGGTTTAAATGGATCCCTCGAGTTAGAATTTAAAACTGAACAACCTAATGGATTATTACTGTATACTGACGATGGTGGAACTTATGACTTTTTTGAATTAAAACTCGTTGAAGGCACATTACGCTTACGTTATAATCTCGGTGGTGGAGCGCAAATTATTAGTGTAGGACGTGATTTGCATGATGGGCATTGGCATAAAGTTCAGGTAATTTTTTTTATTTTATTAAACTAAGTTATCCTGTTGTAAGCATATTTGATACTTAAAATCAACGTAAATGATTTGAACAAAAAGGATTTTTATCTCAATTGGATAAAAAGTTAAGCAATTTTTGATAATTTTATTTTTAAAACGTTCACACACGTGTCTAATTTAATGTCCTCTACAAGAAAAAAATACCCCGAGAACCTAATTGGAAAGAGTCCCATTTTCGAAGTGAATTAACCCTTTTTTCAATTTTGCCCCATACTGCACACATAAAAGAAGTTTATCTTTATAGCAATAATCACAAAATACAGACTCCATTCGCATTCTTCGATAGAAACTGGACTTTAAGATCAATTTCTGTTCCAAATTAAACTCGACATTTTCGATCCAATATATAAATGACTAATAAAATTAACCAGAAAAAAAAATCTAATTCAAATATGCATAGACAAAATCTTACAGACTTAAATTTTTATATTAATCTGAATTTTGCCTTTGGCATTATTAATAATAATAATTTTAACACCCTATGCATGTCGCGTACCATTTTTCTATCTACACATAACAAGATATTTCGATAATGACATCGAGTCTGTGCTGTATGTTAAGTTTTTCTTTTTTCTCTCATTAAAGATTAAATGGTGTAGGTATTAATAAAGTATATGGAAGGAGAAATGACTGGAAAGGAAAATGAAACAAGTATATTTTTACATACGCGATAATCATATGAATTTTCCTTTTCCTTCCTTTACTTCCCTTGCCACTTTAAGAAGCATGAAAAAAGCATAGAAAAGCTCGTCACGTAATTATCATTCTTGTTCTTCTTTCTCCTTTTTTATTTTATTATAAAACTCATGGTAGTTGTTATGCGATAAAATAAATTTTATTAAATATCATTTTATTATGATAATAATGATGCGGACTTTTCATAACGATTTAATAGAAAAAAGTATATTTGGAATAAAAATTTCAAAATTTGTACATTTGATTTTAAAATAAAAAAACGTTTTAAAATACTCAGTAATAGGTCCTGTGATAGTAACCAAAACTATTTGGAATCGTTTTACAAAAATCTAATCTTTGTATTCTCTTCCTTAAATTAATATTAAGTGTATAGATTTTAGAGATTAAACAATAATTAGCTCCTACTCTTATGCTTTTATGTTATCAATACATAGTCATCTTTTACAGTCAACTTTATCTTATTTTTTCTTGTTAAAGACTGCACATGCGTATTACGTTTTTTTAAAAATTGTGTAGGGATGATAAATGTGTTCAAAATTACAAATAAAAAAAATTTAAGTCTATTATTCAATAAATAAATGCTTTTAATTTAATCAAAAATCATTCGTTCATTTAAAGTGTATGTCATGGAAAAACAACAAAAAATATTTTGTTCTTGTTACTTGTTTTATATACAATGTCTTTCGTGAAAACTGTTGAAGCAATCTTTAAAATATACTTATTTATTTGACAACATTTTCAAGAAAAACTAAATCTGTCCAACTGCTAACTGCTTTAAAAACATTTTTATAAGGACTGATAAAAAATATAAATTGCATCAGTCGAAGCATGTAAAGCTTCATATTAAACGGCAAAACCCATAAAACCTACGTCATTTTAAGCTCGTTCAGATTTTAAGTTCATCATTGAATTCAAGTTTAACAAACCATAATCACAAAATGCTCTATTTTTTTAAAAAATCTTACAAAACTCAGTTGTTACTTTCTAGTCTGTATTGATCAGTATTAATACAGTTTATCAAAGCTATTTCTACCAAAATCACTTTTTTGTAGTGAATTCAATAAGAACTAGTGTATCGGGTAGAAACCCAATGCGGATTATATTCAGCCCGTACCATCAAAAGTCTTATGGATAGACCAAGATTGGCCCAGTATAAGTATGAAGGTATGAAGCTTGATAAGTCAACTGAGCTTCGCTAAGCATAAGTTTGAAGGTATAAAGCTAGCGAGTCAGCTAGCTGAAAATCACAGTCTTGAAAAATCACAGTGAACTTTTGTTTTAAAAAAAAATCGTGAGAAAGGAAAGTTTTTTGCTTTTTCTGAAGCAACGGTTGTTCCTACCTTGCTCAAAAACAATACAGCTCTTCTATAGAGCAGCACGGATCAAATGTAAAAAACTAGAAGTCTCTACGATGTCTCGTTATTGAGATTTCTTGCTGATTAACTTGCATGTTTGTTTGCTTGTTTGCTTGCTTACAGAACGCGTATTTTTTCAGCAATGCCACAACCAATTTGAAATCTGTTTTTTGCAAATGATGTAAAATTTCAGGCACAAACTTTTATTCTTGGACCTTTTATAACCAATTTTGCTTCGTCTTCTCACAAAATGCGAAAAACTGATTTTTCAATCTGAACAAAACCAATAGATTCACACGTGAAAACGGTGTGAATGTAAAAATCTCCGAAACAATCAAGTAAAAATACTCCTGTTTAAGATCGATTTTCGATTGTCTTATCTTTCAATTATAACCCTAACAACTATAATATTTCATAAAATCATCGAAAAGCTGTTAAAAATTTATCTTCTTAAATTTAAAAATACTTGATATGTTCCTCTTCATTATCCTTCTTATTTTATATGACATTTTCAACGCCTTATGACTGTTGATTAAGTAACTAAAGTTATTCATATCATATTCGTATCATCAATCTTATCCATTTCTTCTTTTTTTTTCTTTTTATATTTCATTCACCCAAATCAATATCTATTAGGTGCTTCGGAATGATGAGCATACGACATTAACTGTTGATGGTGTATCGCAGAGCAAAGTGTCACGTGGAAAAGAATTTCTATTTGGAAATTTTGCGAAAAATTCTGAGATATTTGTTGGTGGAATGCCAAGAGATTACAATAAGAAATTATCGTTACTTGCTTTACCAAGTGTTGTGTTCGAGCCAAGATTTCGAGGACATGTGAGGAATTTAGTTTATACAGATCAACCTGGAGTCCTTCCTCGACGACAAGAAATGAAACCATCTAAAGATATAAAGGTATATTAATAAAAATTATCGAGCTTTTTTTAGAATTCTTAATATAGAAAATCTTATAACACTGTTCTGCTATTTTGCAGTGTGGCGACTCCCCATGTGATCTTACTGATACGCCCAGTCAAAGTAAAGTAACTCGTGTAAGTAATTTTTTTATATCATTTTGAACTTGCGTAAATACATTCCAAAAATACACTTTATTAAACAAAGTAAAAGTGAAGACATGGAATGTCGATTATCGAATTAGAAATTATTTCAATATTTACATCAGCAATACAAATGTTGAGGTCTTCTTCAAGGATATTCAAGGATACATTAAAGATCAAATTTCATATATTTCAAGTTTATCTACAGTAATTTTATTAAAATCTTACATAAATAATAAAATATGATCCTTTAATTAAACAAAATCTTTGTACTTTTCATGCAGGGATTACGTAATAACATCACAGATGCTTGTGAAAGACACGACCCATGTCAACACGGTGGAATTTGTATATCTACTGATTCTGGTCCATTATGTGAATGTCGCAATTTGGAATACGAAGGCACTTACTGTGAACGAGGTAACTTCCAAATAAATTAAATATTCATTCATAAATTCTTTCTTTTCTAACTTCACAATTTATCAATTTATGAATGAATGAAAATATAATGTACACAACTTCCAATATCTCGTCACATTTGTGACTAAAATAGATTGTACACTATGTAAAACATTTCAATGCCTTACATTTAAGTTTGTTTAATCGATTCATTTGACAATGGTTATCTTTATTAATTTACTACAGATAAAGCACCAAGTGAAGCAACATTTCGCGGAACCGAGTTTTTATCTTATGATTTAGGACAAACTGGTGGAGAACCAATCGTTAGCGCACAAGACGCCATATCATTGTATTTTAGAACTAGACAGCCCAATGGATTACTCTTTTTTACCGGTGAATACAAAAAAAAATCAATAAATTTCCAATCAGATTCTGACTTTTTTATAATAATTCTATTTGCAGGCCATGGAACTGATTATTTGAATTTAGCAATTCGCGACGGTGGTGTTTCACTGACGATGGGATTAGCAAACGGAAAACAAGAAATGCATATAAAACCAGCTCGCGTGCGCTTTGATGATCATCAATGGCACAAAGTGACAGTTCATAGAAGAATACAAGAAATATCATCTATAACTAGTTTTTGTCGTGTAAGTTATAAATTAGCTTGATTTGATCCACAAATTACCCCATTTTATAAAAAAAATTGTCTTTTTGCAGCTTGTTGTGGTTGTTGATGAAGTTTATACAGATCATTCGCACATAGCTGGGAAATTCACAATATTATCATCTTCGAAAGTATATGTCGGTGGCTCAGTGAATCCTAGAGCATTACTCGGAGCGAGAGTTCATAATAATTTTGTAGGATGTCTACGAAAGGTGGAATTTTCTGCAGATACATTACGTTTAAATCTCATTGATTTAGCAAGAACGGGATCAAAACTAATACAAGTGGTTGGACGAGTAGACTATAACTGTCCATCGGGTGACCCTCAAGATCCGGTAACATTTACAACTCGAGATTCATACTTGGTACTGCCTCCATGGGAAGTGTCAAAACAGGGAGTTATTTCGTTCAAGTTTCGCACAAATGAACCAAATGGAATGATTTTACTGGCAACTAGCACTCGATCTCCTAAGGTGAATCATTGTGAAAATAAGAAGCATTCAGTGCATTGATTATTCATTTATCTACACATATACACAGCATGATGAAATTATTTTCTTATCTTTGTTTCTTTTCTTTCTTATTAACAGTCAAACTTTTTTGCTGTTGAACTACTTAATGGACATATTTACATACATATCGATCTTGGAACGGGTGCTTCAAAAGTAAGAGCTTCACGTCGACGTGTTGATGATGGTGTCTGGCATGAACTGACTGTACGAAGAAGTGGAAGGGAAGGAAAAGTGGGTGTTGATGGACAATATAATGAATTCAAAACGCCTGGAGACTCAACGCAACTTGAATTAGATAGTCCATTATATATTGGTGGCACAGGACCATCATATGCAAATGTAAATATTCCTCCAGCTTTATGGACTGGAACTCTTCGTCAAGGATACGTTGGATGCTTACGAGACTTAGTACTTAGCGGAAAGCCAGTTGATATTGCAGCATACGCAAGACAACAGGATACAGCTGCAGTTAAACCATCATGCCATGTTCAAACAGTACAATGCACACCAAATCCATGTCATAATGGTGGTGTGTGTAGTGATGGTTGGAATCGTCCATTATGTGATTGTTCTGCAACATTATACACAGGACCAACATGTGGTCGAGAGTCAGCGACATTAGTTTTTAACGGATCACAACATTTAACTGTTTGGACGAATGGATATGGCAATCAAGGTGTTAGGACACAAACTGAGGAATTAGTTTTACGATTTAAAACTTCACGACCCACGGGACTTCTCCTGCTAACAAGTGCAGATACTAATTCGCCCGATCGCTTAGAAATAGCTTTAATTGCTGGCCGTGTCAGGGCTAGCGTTCGCTTGGGTGATCGAGAAAAGGTAAATTTAATTGCTAACAGCAAAATAAAACATTTAGCTCAATCTTATAAAGATATATCTTTAAACAGATTCTACTAGAAGATCCTCTTGATTAAATTTACTTAATTAATCAATTATGTTTTTATTCTTTCCTACTTGTCATTAATATTGATAAATAGAAAAGGGAAGGAAAAGGGTTTTAAAAAGATGATTGGAAAGAACAATAGATATTATATTTAATTTTTTGATTTATCGTGATGTTGCAAGAAATGAAATTAATCTAGAACAAAGCATCATTCTGCAAAACGAAAAAACGACAAAATTACTTTCATAATTAATTGATTAAGGAATAATTTAAAAACTGCAAAAGTTATTGAGAAACCTTTATCTAGTCTTTATCTTTTTTCTTTTGACTGATTTTTAAAAAAAAAACTTTTTTTTTCTTTTTACAATTACAGAATTTGTTAGCAGGTCAAGGGGTTCTTAATGACAATAACTGGCATACGGTGAGATTTTCACGTAGAGCATCGAATTTGCGACTTCAAGTTGACGGGGCTGCCCCCGTGCGTGGTATGTTATGTATGTATCATCAGCACATATTTTTTGCCCTTTATAAGTGTCCATGAACGTTCGTTTTAATAAAAAGAGAATAATAAGACATAGAGGAAGTTTATAAGACAATATGCTATTGAAGATCTATTCAGAATATTTTTTCCTCCTTTTTCGTAACTTAAATTTTGCGTTTTCGAGGAAAGATTTGAAAAATGCATAACGATGACTTTTTGCGCAAACAATTAGCGGGAATAATTATGAATTCGCTCATTCGAAGAGTAAGAAAGGAAAAACGGATAGAATTGGAATCTACTAAAATAACCAATCTCAATCTACTTTGAATTTTAAGACATAATTTAGGGGTATTGACAATATACCCAAATTTTAAAGTTAAATTTCAATAAAATTTGGAAACAACATGATATTTTCAAAACGTCATTAATAAAAGAAACATTTGCTAAAATGTTAATTTTGCGATGATGCTCATTAAACATCATACATTACACACAAAAAGAAATTAACATTACGAATTTTTTTACATTTAATTCATACAGTTTACAATTCTTCAGAACCTTCTCCTCACTAAAATTTACATAATTGCGTCTACATTTACACTGAGAAAAAAAAAATCATGATTAGTTTTCTCTCTAAATCCACATATTCCACCTTTGCCATTTAATAGCTGTATACGACTTAATTGGTTTTTCGCTTGTATACTTTACACTCTTCAAAATGTTTTCTTTCTTCATTTTAATTTAGTTTTTTTTCCTTTCCATCTTGTGTTTCATACTATCAGTCTCTCTTTTCGTTTTTCTTTTTCTATCTAAATGTTTTTTTTTCGAATACATCAACACGATAAGATTTCACTTTAAGTACTTATATATAAAAATAATTTTTCATATTGAATATTTTTTGGCTTATAAATATTATTATTTTAAAGAAAAAGTTCAGCAAATTAGAAAATATAATTTAATTTTTTTTAATTGTTTTAAAATCTCAGTATATAAAAATATAAAGATCGAGTTTCTATAAACTACATTGTTTTTTAAGTTCAACATTATTTGAAAATAGCTTTTTAATAATTTTTTTTCGCTTTTACATAAATCATACTCTCAATGTCATCACAATAAATCGAATACAACACATAACATAACTTAGCTCATTAAATTCTGCTTATTTGTTGATGACCATTTATTATGGTGTTACAAGTTCACATTTTTAATAAGTTTAAAGTTCGTTTTATTGTTTTGATAAAACATGATTATATGTATTGTTTATCAATGTATTTACAACAAAACGGAGTTAAAATCATGGAAATAAATCACATTATAATTATTATTCTTTTTAAAGTTAAAAATTCTTTGCAAAATTTTTGTTCTTTTTAATTTTGTGTTCAATCATACTTTACTTGCTCAATTTTATGATGAAGGAACGAATCGATGCTATAACCACATTCATATCATATGATTTGCATTTTCACATATAACTTTCGTAGGTTACAAATGAAACTATAATACATTGAAGTATATTAATGTAAATGAGAAAGCATTAAAGTCATTTCAATTATGCCTAATAATTTCTTAGCTTTTATTCCATTGTTCATTATAATTATTAATACCTTTTTAGGTTCCGTTCTTTTTCGCAATTTCTCCATCATTGTTGGTATTTTTCTTTTCATGCATGTTTTTTTAATTAGCCAAGCTACCCTTATCAATTTTTTAGTATCAAAGAGAAATCATTAAGGCTTAATAATATATACGTGAATTTAGAACTAAGTATGGAGATGATTCTTACAAGCGATAATTGTTTCAGAATAGACTTTTTTATTCATTTACCTTTTGAAATGTTAAAATGACGACTATTTTCTTTAAAGTTTATATCAAATAAAAATATGCCTAGAAAAATATTTAAAAGTTGATTTTTATGCTATCCACAACTTGATGTTCTTTTAATAATAATCATCAGCATTTCTTGAAGGCAAATCTTTTTTATCTAATGGCAATCAAATATTGAATATTTCTCTTTGTGGTCTCATCTCTCCTCATTATCTTTGTGTTAAGGATAATATTGAGTTACAGAAAGAATTGATGATGAGGATTTCATTTTGCGATGTGTTCTCAATATTGTGATTGATAACCTCTCTTAATCGAATAATTATCAATTATAAAATAATTAAGGGTCTGCTACTTTCTTGCTGTCTGGTAACTAATCTTTTTTATTATTATTTTCTTTTAAACTTTCATACATGCTTATCATTAGAAATTGTGTAAAAATTATCGATTCTTTTAAAATATTTGAACAATTTACCAAATTTCATTTAATTTCTTTATTAAAAACCTTTAAAATTTCAACAACATTATAAAATCTTGTAATAGGGCAATTCTTTGGATGACTTTCGGAAAATTTTCAGCAAAAAATCGAAATTTTATTGATTTTTCCCATCAGAGGCACTAATTTTATGACTCTTATCGATGTAAAAATATAAAATGTACACTCCTTTTGATATCATATACTCCTAATCGCTGTATTAATTAAGTTATTTGGATTCTTTTGTCAATAACTCGATGACAGAAATCGGAATTTTCAATTTTCATCATCCAAAGAATCGAAAATTAGAGAAAACTATTGAAATTAACATTGAATAACTTTTACTGAGTTATAGAACAGACAAAAATCTTTAATTAGGTTGCTTTTTTGTGTGCATTAAGTCAGTAATTAATGAAATATTTCAATTCTTTGAAAAATTTCCTTGTGTCATCGAGTTATAAAGAAGCTTTTTTTTTGTCTTAATCCGTGAAAAAATACAAAATTTTCAAACATATTTTTTCAATTTTTCACTTAATTTGGGTGAGTTGTAACATTTCAATAGATCACTTGTAAAGAATTAATTATGCTAAATGATCTACGAAAGTTCTGGCTTATTATTCCTTCACAGTAATATGAAATTAAAGAAAAACATTTTATTGACACAAAACTCATTGACATTGGATTATGAAAGCTCATTTTTTTCAAATTCCACTCATCCAAAGAATTGCCCAATAGAAAAGCATCTTATTTGTTCTTATTTAAATAAACTAAAGTAATCATCTAGCTAAGCTGAAAATTACATCGATTGATTTTCAATTATTCATTTGTAATTCTAGAGAATTGAATGTGGTTTTAAACAAAATATTGGAAAAAAAAATAATTAAACAGACTTTTATTTTATAAAAATTATTACACATTAAAATCACTTCAGTTTCAATTCCTTTATCCAATTTATCTCAAAAAGCGAAAAACAATTCACACAATTTCACGCATATCAGAAAATTCAACTTTATACATGTATATAATATATACATTAAAACTAAATTCAAAACAAAAGTTAAGTTAAGTGACATTAATTGACTTAAAAGAAAATGCAAAAGCATTTTTAAGTATTGTTCAGTGACATCATCAAAAATGCTACCATGCGTATGGTACAACTATAAACATGTAAATATTAAATAATGACCTATCGAACTGGATCAAAACTTTAAGTTGAGAAAAGTAAGGTTAAGTAAATTCGTCAATAAAAAGCAATATTTGGACAATATTCAGCAACGAAATTTTGCGAACGTCAGGGCGCTGTTTATTTACTGCACCAAAAGATTTTTTTATTATTTAGATTTTGATTTTAATTTCATAACAGAATGCTTAAGTTTATCATTTTAAATAATTATAAAATTTTTAAGAGTGAATATCAAGTCACTTGTTTTAGAATTTTTATTTGTAGAATCCAAATTTGATGAAATATAATTATATAATATAAATAATCTCGCATCAAAAAAAACAATTCAATTACTCAAGCTAAAAGTATTAACAGTACAAGAAGCTCATATCAGAAACTATTCGAAATTGAAATGCACACATAATTTTAAATTCTATAAAAATTGCACTACTTCGAATATTTTCTGGTTTTATAATAAATAAAATAATTGTTGCTCATATTAATTTTTAACCAAAAGTATAAAAAATATAGATATTTAGTAGAAACGTTGTTCGAGCTTTAGAACTGTATTAATAATAAATTGCATTATTTAGAGACAATATGATATTTAACTTTAAATATATTTTACTCATAAACGGTATATGTATTAAAATACTATTTTATTTGTAGAATCATATTTTTAGTTAATCTAAAGTTTTATCCATGTGCTGTCAATAGTTTCTGCTTGAGTATGTGTAATTTGCACAAAATGAAGTATACAAAATATATTGAGAACGTTTATTTATAAGTTCAAGATTTAATATGTTTTATATTTCTATGTTGTGGAAAAAATTTAAGTTTTTTTGTAATTTATTAATTATTTTATTAGATAAACTGCCTAAACCTTAAAATTATACTTCTGCACCAAGAATCCAAATTATTGCCAATTACTCCCACAACTCTATTTTTTTTTTAAATATTTATCTTTTCTTACGAAGAAAATCAATTTTATATTTATATTAAAATTTGAGTTTAACTTTAAATTAGTCAAACTTTAAATTATCTAGTTCATTTACTTCTCTCTTTCTCTCCTTCTTTTTCTTCCTTCTTGTTCACTTCCTCAAATATTCACTTTTACTTTTCTCAAAGAAACATTACACAAATCTATATCAGTGCATGTAATATCAAATAAAGAAATATGATTATTGTACTGAATGAAAATTTAAAAAAAAAAACAATAAGAAAATACATTTTAATTTTGTTCACATAAAACAAGGATAGCTGCTTATGCAGGCCATAAATGTGCATAAAATATTCTCTTTGTGTAAATCAGAACATTAATCAATATTCAAAGCAAAAACGAAATCGCTTTCACTTGTAGAACGCCTAGCCTAGCTTTAAAAAAATTACTTTCATCATGTTTTCAATTTTGTGTGTAACAATATGTTCATCATTCACGACATTTTTTTTGGTATCGTAATGATATTTGGCAATATTTGTTTTAGCCATAACTGTTGTCATTTTAATTTTTTGCTAAATTTGCACATTCTTGGTTTATCATAATGCCAAAAATCATTAAGTTTATTAATCATGAAATTTAAATGTTCGTAGATAACTTAAAAAATAGTCTTAAACGCATAAATAGCTATAACGCACAATATATTACCATTTAAAGTATTTTAAAAAAATAAATATAAAAAACATTATTGATTGAACACGTAGGAATATAATGGTTGTTTAGAATATCCTAAGAAGTTTTTTAAAAAAAACATTCATGAATCTCGACGGAGTTAAACTTTCTCACACTTTGTTCATAACTTTGTCGTATCGTTATCGTTTTTCCTTTTATTTATTCAATAATGAAAATTTTAAAATTCTTGTTTATTTTGTTTAAAAAATTTGTAACTTTTCATTTATTTTGTATTTTTTTAAATTCGTTTTAAATTTTCTCGGCGTTTATTTTATTTATATTCAATCATTCAATTTTCTTATATTTTATGAACGAATGTCAAGTTGTCACTTTCTGACAATGAGACCTTTCAAAATAAGAATTTCGTTAAAAAATGTTATGGTTTCATTTTAAATTATTGAAAAAACTCAGCTTTCAAAGCATTTATTTTACTCCGATAAAAAAATTTCGTAAAGATTAAACTTATAGTTTTTTTTTTTTGTCAATTTAATTCATAATTTTATTTTTCAATTTTCTAATGTAAAAACCCTGTTTTATAATGAAGATATATTTTTCAATTGTCACTGACATATGAAACGTGACAATGGCCTTAGAATTGAAATAATTATTTGGAGAAGAGAAAATGTTATGAATGATAAAAAACATTTCTCACATAGCACACAATTTATTCTTTTATTCTTATTTGTTGTCCAACTCATAGCTTTTTCTTTGATTTCGTAAGAAAGTTTAGTTTGGACTGTTGCTATGCTTAAGTAGGTAAATGTGTGCTTTTATAAATATCTCTGTCGTTATATTTATATGTAAAACTAAAATGAACTAGTTTTAATCACCATTACATCTCTATTCCTTCTTTATCTACAACAGCCAACTTCCTGTTTCTGTTTTTCTTTTTAAAATCACATATTTAACTTCCCAAACCTTTGCATGTAGTAAAATGAAGTTAGAAAATTATAAATATATAAAGAGAAACATAAAACAACAAAATTAAGCTAAAAAAGGATATTGAAAATGAAACATACAGTTGATGGGTAAATTTATAATACCATATCTTTTGTTCTTTAATTTCTAAAGTTTAAACTTTATAAAATTATATGAGCATATCATTTTTATAACATGAAAATATGAAAGATTGATGAAAGACTTATTGTGTTACACAACAAAGTTTTTAAAAAGCTATAGAGTTCTTAAAAAGGCAAGGTAACAAGGAACTTATAAGAATTTATATTTTACAATGAAAAATGATCAAACTATTAATTTAAAGCAAAAATTAACTCTTTAAAATAAAATTTTACTACACATTCAAAATCGAAAAAAAAACTAATCAAGCAATCAGCACTCAGAGCATTGAAAAAAAACTATTGCATTGAGAAAAAGAATTTCTTAAAATTATTTAGGTTGTCTACAAGAATCTGAGATTGTCTTTCATTATTTTCCTTTACATATTCTTTAATTCATTCATTTCGTCCTTTTCATATGTTATGAAACAAGAGTTGAGTATTTTTATGAGATAACCAAGATACTCTAAAAGATTAAGAACAGAACTATATAGTTTGAACTATATAGTTTCAAACAAGCATTTTCTTCCTTGTTTCTTAAACAAATGATGATATTCATAAGGAAAGCATAAACGTAATAAAAACATTTTTTGTGCTTATCTAAAAGTTAATTTACAAAAATAACATTCATTTAAAATCAAAAAAAAGTATCTTAATTTAAGAAATAAAATTAGAGGAAGGAAACTCTATGAAATAAATAAGAGGCATGTAGGAACATTATGTTACACACAAATCATAAACATACACATTTTCAAACAATATATACTGACAATATATCTTTTTTTTTAAAAAAAAATATATCGCACTTAAAGTCACTTAAGAGTAATGATGAAAAAAATAAGAAAATCAAAAACTTATTATATTGCATGCGATATTTCACATAAGTAATGAGCACATCTTGTCTAAAATATCCCGCGCACTAATCACATTTTCCTCTCCCTTATTATGGATATGAATTATGAAAATATATATTTAAAATAAAATTAATATGAGAGCAAAATTAATCAAAGCTATTTGCAATAACAATGACATTAAACATATATTCTCGAAATAGTCTCTTTTTTATAATGAAATATATATCTTTTTTGTATGCGTTAATGTAATGCGCTATGCTGAATAATCAGTTTCATTTTATGACTAATGCTATCGACATTTCGATATTCTTCTCCTTTGTCTCTTTTTCATTTTATTACATTGCTGATTTTTCTGGAATTGATAAATAGCTGAAACAATATTGGGACGGCATAGCACATTGGAAGTAAGATCTCTGCATTTGGGAGGACTTTTTCATGCAGAAGAAGAAATCCAAATGACTGCAACAATGCCAAATTTTGTCGGGCAGCTACAAGGATTCGTATATAATGGACATAGGTAATTTTATATAAATTATTTGACAAATTAGCCTAAAATCTTGTTATATAAAACAATCATTTATAATTTTAAAGATGAATATAATTTAATTATCTTTAACTTACTCAAGTTGACTCGAGAAAATTAAAAAAGTCAAAAATCTTTTAAAATTGAGGGAATTCTGAATGGTCAAGCATATTTATGTAGGAAATGGAAATCTTTTCTCAAAAAAAAAATATCATTTCAAATGCTGCAAACCTTCCAAAATGGCATTTACTGCGAGTTTTCATTCTTTCATTGTGGAAGTCCTTTTTTAATTCGAATTCAGTCAAATTTGAAAGAAGTTTTTGCATGATGCAAATCCTAAAATACCAAAAATGTACTCTTTTTTGGAAAAATTAACTTTAAAGTAAGCAAGAAGTGTTTTTTAAATTAAAAACTAATTTGTGTATTTAGCTTAATAATACAACAAGTATTTAAATTATACAAAAACTATTCATAGATTTTAAAAGCTTTTAAATAGTTTTAAGTGCTGAAATTCTTCTGGAAATTTGTTCTCATTAATTTTTTATCAAGTGCCTCCAAGAGCATTGTCAAAAATCTTATACAACATAATCAAATTACGACTCAAATAGTACTTTGAAAACTTAAGTTCAAGTTTTATGACCTACTTTGCTTAACAATCAAATCAGAAATATAATTCATGCATACAAAAATGAAAAAGTCATAAAATGTCTTCCTTCTATAGTTTTAGAAATCCATATATTATCATTCATTGTTATGGTTTATTGGGTTAATTTATGATTTTTTTTTAACCAAACTTTTTCATCGTTTTCAAACAAAAAAACTGAACAAAAGAAAAGAAAAACAAAACTTTTTCATTATAAAAATCGAATCATTTTCCTAACCGCGAAATCGCCAGTATTTACGTAACAATTTTGTGGGGGATGGGGCCTAAGTTCATTTGAGACAAATTTTGTGTCAGTTCAACAAATTTCTCTTCATGCTAATTTGTAACAAGAGGAAAGGGCTTATAATGCGGAGGCAATTGTACCTAAGGTACACAAATGTTTTCTTCGTTTTCTAATAATCTAATAATTTTAATTAATGCATTTTTAAGATTAATGCATAACGACGAGAAACCTTTAAATAAAGTTGAAATTTATCATTTGGTGCCAGTTATTTGTGTACAAACTTTAAAATTTTCTTTTGTTTTTTGAAAAAATCTAAATTACTTAATTAACACACATTTGCAATGCTTCAAAACTAGAATGATCTTATGAATTTTGAGAATTTCATATAAATTTTTTTTTCTTCTTCAGATACATTGATGTTGTAAAATCATTGGGATCAGAATTGAATGCAGTACCTCAAACCACTTATAAATTAACGGCACGCTTTATAAACTCACCACCCGGCAATCCATATCAGACAGCAACTTTCAAATCAAAGCATTCGTATGTCGGTCTTGCAATGCTTAAAGCATTCGATTCAATAGCAATAGATTTTCGATTCAAAACCCTGGAGCCTAATGGAATATTATTTTTCAATAGTGGCAAAAAGAGTGACTTTATTTGTATAGAATTGGTAAATGGTCACATTCATTACATATTTGACATGGGAGATGGACCAGTAACCATTCGTGATAAAAGTAAAGTTCACATGAATGATAATCGATGGCATTCTGTTAGTTTAAGACGACCTGGGCCTAAAATCCATTCATTGATGGTAGATGATACATTAGAGACATTTGTAACAAATGGAAATTCAATGCATTTAAAGCTCGATGGAATTCTATATATTGGTGGAGTCTTTAAAGATATGTATGCTTCTTTGCCTATTGGAATTGCAACTCGATCAGGATTTGAAGGATGTTTAGCATCACTTGATTTAGCGGATTTATCACCAAGCCTAATTGAAGATGCAGTTGTTCCTAGTTCACTTGTTATGGGTGGGTGTGAAGGACCAACGAAGTGTAGCCAGAATGCTTGTGCAAATCGTGGAATTTGCGTCCAACAATGGAATACATATGCTTGTGAATGTGACATGACATCCTTTACTGGACCAACTTGTTATGATGGTAATCATTTATGCTTTAACTTAGATTTGAAAATTAATTATCTTTGTTTTATACAGAATCTGTTGCTTATGAGTTTGGTGCCAGTCGAGGACTCATTCAATATCAATTTCCAGCAGGAAATCAACCTGATACTGAAGAAGATAATATTTCTTTAGGCTTAATGACATTGAAAACAGACGCAGTTCTTTTAAGAATCGAAAGTTCAAATACTCAAGACTATTTCGAATTGGAAGTTGTAAGTTATCAAATACACAAAAAAGTTTGTTTTAAAATTCATTTATCTTATCACAATTAGGTTGAAGGGAACATTTTTGCAGTCTTCAATATAGGATCACAAGATTTGCCGTTGGGTGAAATTGGCGTAAAAGTTAATGATAATAATTATCATGTTGTGCGATTTACACGAAGTGGTGGTAATGCTACCTTACAAATTGATGATTATAATGTACAAGCACTTCACGCTCAAGGTAGTAATGACAAAATTAAAAACTTAATAATGTTGCATAAAAAAATATGGTATATAAAAAATTTTCAGGTCATATATCAACAATTTTCAACTCTATGGGAAATATTCAAGTTGGAGGCAAAGTACCGAAAGGAGTCAGTCGTTCTCGCATCGAACGTCCATTTGCTGGAGTAATAACTGGTCTCTCGATAAATCGTTTACGCATTCTTGATCTTGCGGCTGAACGAGATCCACAAATTACGATTCGAGGAGATGTACAATTGGTAACTGGAGTATTAGATAGAAATGACCTCCAAAGAATGCAGCAGGTTAGATTTTTAAATGAAATGACAAGAATGAACAGAAAAAATGTTTGCAAGTTTTCACTAAACTAATTAAATATCAGTTAAGATATGTCGCTGCAAGAGTTTTAAGAATTTTTGGAAATGAAAAGCAAATTTTTTTTTATAATTTTTTTATTGATTTTTTTTTAAATTTAAATAACACTGTCGATTTGAGTATGAGATGTGAATATGTTCCTATAAGTTAGATGGCTAGTTTTCTTGTTATTATTTTTTTTTAAAAAAAGAATATCATTAATTTATTTCTATTACATTAATGATTTTATGCCTTACGCAGATAAAAATTTTATTTCACTAAGAAATTAAACTTTTCTTTTAAGTTCAATACTTTCAAGAACCCTATTGATTTTAAATGATGATGAATATTATTTTATTAAGTTTTTATGCGCTATTTGACGCCTTAATTCATTCATGCATTTATTTAACTTTATAATAATCATTTTAAAATATTCAAAAATAGTAAAAAAAAATGTGTCAAAAAATGACAATTTATAAAATCATCAGAGTTTTATGAATCTTTAATACTTTAAATAAATTAAAAATGAAGTTGCAGATCTATTGAAAAGTAATTATTTGCATGATTGTTTTTTCTTTTATAAATTATCAACCAGCTGCAATCGATAAATTTCACACACCATGAATTTATCCCCAAAACAATGTTCATTTTCATTAATAATATTTTAAATCTTTTCATATTGTTACACTGTTAAATACTGTTTTTTATTGGCACAATTTTCTTATTTTCAAGCACTAAGCACAAACGTTTTTACATACAATATTATTAATGACTAAATGGTGATTTGAAGTAAAAATTAAAAAGCTTCTATTTTGTGTTTCTTAATCGGAATAAACGTTAGTTATCAAGAAAGCCTTCATTGTTATGCGAGAGTCATCGATTTCCGAAACAAAAAAAATATTGAGTTTTTTCAGTTATTGCTTCATTTTCCACCATTATACACGATCGGGACATTTCTTGAATTCATAATTTAAATTGATTTCTTTTTTATCGTAAGATATAAAAGGCCTTATCCACATTTTTTGACAAGATATATTTTAAAGTAACATTATTAAAGATATATACTGCATTACAGTTTCAAAAAATTTTAATCCAAATTTATGTTGAAAAACGATTTAAAGAATATAAAAACATTTTTTCCAAAAATAAAGTATTGTCCTCCTCGTACTTCAAGAATATTCGTCGTTAATCTTTTGATAATACAATAATGAGGTTGAGATTTTTTTCAATAATTGTATTAAAATAACAAAGAATGATTGCGGATGCATATATAGATGTTTTTTGCACAATTGCACATTTAATACACACTTTTACATTCCTTTTATTCATTGATTCATATTGCACAACTTTTGATCCTTTACCTTCCTTAATCGTCACGCACTGATTAAAAATATCGCAAAAGATTAATATTATTAATAATACTTTAATTTTAATTATATCATTTTCAGACTCCTCCAAGTGGCTATCCAGGTGTAATGGATGATCTAATATTTTCTGGTGCTGGTTCAGGATGCCGGGGAGATGACGAAGATGAATGTATGCCACCATTTGAAAATGGAAGTGGAGATGATTTGATTACTCCAATTTATGTTCCACCAACCAAACAAACTTTAAGTCAAACTAAGAAAAAAGAAAAAGGTGAAAGTGAAAAATCGTGCGATGATGAAGATTGTTTACCTGGATCTGGTTCTGGAGAAGTAACGGATACATACTCTACTACATTAGTAACATCAAAGACTGAATCTAAAGGTAAGAAATAATCGTATTAATTATTATGATAACTTTATTATTAATAATATCGATATTTCATGATTTTAGAAACAAGTCCAGATTTCACATCATCATATACGACAACAGAAGATCGAAGGACTGATACAACAATTCCAGATTCAACAAAATCTGAAGCTCGTGATGATCTGAGCTCATCTAGTGGAACATTTGGTATTCATGAAACGACACATCCGCAAACTTCATCTGGAACGAGCACAACCATTTCTTTATCAAGCAGTTCGACAAGTGTAGCAACAAGTAGTAGTAGCGCAACCAGCACGACAAGTACTAGTACAGGAACTACAACCAGTACAACAACGACACTTAAAACCACACCATTTATTCCACCACAGACCGAAACGACGATTCCATATCATCCAAAAGAAACATTTCCACCAGAGCCAAGCACTCCCGATGAAGATATTAATAATGAAATTTTCAGCAATGGACATCCTGAAGATTCAGATTACGATAATGGTCACTTTGAGCAACCTATTCCTGAGCCTGAAACTGAACCTCCACCTCCTCCCATTTATAATAAAACACCACCACCTTATAGTCATCGAGATCGTGATCAATCAGTTTATCGTGACTCTACAAGACCGCCACCTAAAAATAAACATGGTCGAATAAATTCTGAAGCAGAAGAAAGAACAGCGATGATTATTGGAATTGTTGCTGGTGCTTTAATCGCTGTAATACTTGTTATACTCTTAGTCTTATGGATAAAATCAAATGGAGATCGTTCTTATAAAATGGAACATGATCTGAAGTATGGTCATGGAGCTAATGCAGCGCTTTTAGGACATAATGCAGGACATCATTCAAACCAGCATCATCATAATCAACATCATGGAAACAATAATATGAATCAGCCGAATAATCAAAATCAAGATCAGTCACAATATCAAAATGGAAATAATAATTTTAATCATGGCTCTAATTATGATGCACAAGAAAGTCCTAATATGGGAGCAAATGGATCTCTAAGACAACAAGGCAGTCATTATGATCGTAATGGAATGAATGCAGGTCTGGTGCAGCCCAAAGCAAAACGTAATTCCAAAGATATTAAGGAGTGGTACGTGTAAAATGATTTTAAGTTAAGATTTAAAAAATATGAAACTACAATCAGTGCTGTGGAAATATCATTAAAAAATATCTGTAAAATATCTGTAGGAAAGACAACAAGTAATGTAAACATTAAATCTAAAGTCATGATATCAACTCATATTAATATCAGTAAGATAACAACCCGAAATATATAATAATTTTTTGCTCATTATTTAATGACATGTCCTATCGGGTAAAATAAAACTAATGTGATTAGCAAGGAAAACTAAATAGCTTAATGGAGTCACAAAAATTTGTGCGTGTGAATATTATTACGAACGGTGAAATTTTTCATTTTAGACAGCGCTTAAAATAAATCTTATTACTATATATAAAACAATCACGAAACTCTTAAAAACTCTATTTGACAGATCAATTCTTACTAATCCTTCAAAAAGAATATTTCTTTATCCTTACCTGCACATTGAAAATACGGAAAAATATTATTGAAGATAAAGCAAAAACATATTAACTATTCATACCATTTATTATTTTGTAAGTAAAGTAAGACACAAAATTTAAAATGCAGCTATTTACGCATAAGTACACAGGCATTTGAAGTATATAATCAAATTAACATATTTATATATATATATAGACTAAAAAATCAAATCTGTAGAAATATTTCCATATTTCGTATGACTGGATTGTTCATGAAATTCAACTTATTTATTACTCTTTTCCAAATATCCTTTAAATTTTACTTGTCTTTAAATTGAATTTTTCTCGAAAAAGCAGCATAACAGTTTATAACAGTTTATTATAGTTACAAACAAAAATCAAGAACCACTAATAATTTCTTTACAAAAACAGAATATATTAACTCACTCTAATCAAAAATTATTGATCATTATGTTAACTTTGTTGGACTTTTTATATCTGTTTAAAACTATTTTGTGCAGCTACGAGAAAAAAAAAGTGAGAAACGAAAATATGAATGTCGAAATTGAATTCTTAAGAATAATGCACAGAAGACAGTTTGGAGATTATTTATCAACATTAACTATTGAATTGCCAAACTATAAAGAAAAGGACATGCTTTAAGATTCTTGCACGGAAATATGAATTGAAGTTTGAATAAACTTCAAAAAGTTTACATATTTTAACATTTTATTTTTTATGTTTCAAGCTAATATGCAAGACTGGTCACTAAACATATATTTTAAGGAAATAATCTTTCACAAAATATTTCAGCAATTCATTCATTGCATGCCTATGGAAAAATCAAAAAATGAATGAACTAGATTGAACTTTGTGATGCTTACTCAAAAACCTTCAGTTTCATTGTATTAATTAAGCATATGTGTAAGCCTATGAACCATTTTTTTGAAAATTCTAATTTTTTTTAAACATTTTCAAAGAAAAATAAAATTATGTCAGCCATTACTCAAAATTCTTTGCATAAGAGCTTTAAAATAATTAAAATCAGGTCAAGATGCATTGCATTTAATATATTAAAAGTTTGGATTTTTTAATTAATTTTTTAGCGTTAATCTTACCAAAAGTATTTATTTCTGAACGCATTAGTCAAAATAACGAATTTAAGAATAAATTTAAATCCCTAGATCCTTGATTTTAATCACAATAAAAAAAAATGTGTAGCCTGTGTTATAACAGAAAAATACAATTCCTTTTGATAAGATAATTTTTTTCGCATCTAAGCTTCAAGTTTTATGACGTTAACTTTTCTCATGACAAAAGGATTTGTAAAGTTTTTACTTACATCGTTAGAGAAATATATCTTAGTTCAATATGTGTTAATAAGCGAAAGCAAATATACATACACATTATTGACACACAATAATACCCTAAATAAATTTAACATATATATTTTAAAATAGAATAAATAGATATATACAACCATATATTTTAGCATTAGAATTTAGTGGAAAAGATATATTGAAAAATGACTATTATGGTGATGAAAAAAAAGGATTTCTATACAAAATATAGTGTCTAAAGAAAAAGAGATAAGCAAAAAAGAAAATGAAAAGCACACTAGAATTATAATGCATAAATATATGATAGAAAGCAAAGGATAATAAATGTATAATAAAACTCAATCCTTTATAAATCCACACAGTTCACAATTTGATTATTATAAAATTAATTTCTTTAACTTATCCTCGTATCATTTACAAATTAAATCGTTATAATTTGCTTGAAAATTTTAAATTATTTAAAATCTTTGAGAAGTAAATGCAATTTTGTATTCAAACTCATTAAATCTTTTATTAAAATGATACTAATGTTAGCCCAATTTCAAAACTTTTCTACCTATTTATCATAAATTTGGACAGCATTTACAATAAAAATCAGTATTTAATTATAAAGTGTGTAATTTAAATTTGATATGGCACATTTTCATGACAAAACGCTACACATAAATGCTAAAACTATTAAAAGCATATCATTTTTTAAGAAAGAAAAAAAAATTTTTGTAAGCATTTATAATGAGCTTTATAAAACACAAGAGTGGAATTAAATAATCTAAATCCACAATTCTTGCCATAAGTGTCAGTTATCAACCTATATCTATCTTTATTTGACTTTAATATGCAAAATTGATTATAAAAGTATTACTGTTGATTTAAGTTCTTAATTTTTTAAAAAATGTCAAGCTACAAAAAGAAAAGCTCGTAAGATTCTTCTTAAATGAATGTCTTTTATTACAAGTATAAAGTTTCCTAAACTAAACCTTTTCTTCTTTTTTTAATGTACATCTTTTTCCCTCCAATTTTACAAAGAAAAAAAAATAAGAACAATTACTTACTAGACGTTTTGCTTGAATGTATTGCATTTATTAAAAAAAAAATTCTCTTAACACGTAACTTACCTTCGAGTCTTAAAGAATCCATAAGGAGAAATGTTTGAAACAAATTTTTCTTATATAGATGTAGTGAATTTAATAAATTTATAATTTAATATTATTTTGAATTGAATTTTTGTTTAATTATTCTTTTAAAGTTTAAACTTCAAGTTACACAAAACACATCTTCAAAAAATAATAATCAATTAAAAAAATAATCCTAAGGAACAAATCGACCACAGTTTCAGAATTAAAAACTCTTCGAATTTTAATAAAAAAAATTGAAAGAACACTGAAAGATTTATGTTAGCGTTATGAACAAAAAATGATTAAAAAGAATAATGATGGAAAAATATATTAAATCCTATCTAGGTCTTCTAATAAGTGAAAATGAAAATAAATTCAAAATGTTGTAAAACTGAGATAAATATAATAATAAAACATAGAGTATAGTTTTTTTTTCTGATATGAGAAAAAAATGTGCGAATGAATATAAATTATAAATAAAACAAAATAATGGAACTAAAAGGATGAATTGTAAATTTTATTAAATTTGAGCAATAAAAGGTTTTTGTTGAGAAAAAAATACTTTACAACTTTTCCCGTTTTTTTTTTTATTCAACATAATATTTTTTACAAAGCTCTGCTTAGTATGTATCCTAGAGCTATCATTAGTATACCTAAAAGAAGATTTGATCTTAATTTATTCATGCCATTTCCAGGATCAACATCTAACCTTAATTGACTTGAAAGATTGGCAGGAACATCTACATAAACTTTATCGAGACCAAAGTGAAAAATCATTTTTCTCAAATTCTCTACATTAACATTATCGTTTTCAGAAGACCATATCGTGAAAGTAACCAAATTTGTAGCATTTAATGATTGATATAAATGATTGAGTGTTTCTATAGACTGTGCAGCAATACCAGCCCTAACAGGAAACGTTATTGCATTATTTTTTTGATGTTTTTTTATTCCATCAATCATAACTTTCACTTGTTCATGAGTATAGATTCCTTCAGTATAATTAATACCCCATCGAGTGGTCCAACCTATAATTTAACCAAGATATAAAGATGAAGCTTTGCACAAAGAAGTGTGACTGAAGTACGACGGCATGAAGTGTCCAATCACTTTGAAACTTTGTCAGAATTAAGTCCATATTACGTCCAATTGCGTCCAATAAAAAAATAATTGTGTCCTACTTCCTGTGGCTAGATATAGCAGGTTCCATTTTTGGGAATTATGCCGTGGTACTTCAGGTTTTAAAACGGCATCATTTCCAAATATTAACTTTATTAGACATATTATACATCAAAATTGATCTCTTAATTACGTCCAATTGCGTCCTGCAAAAATTTTTGGAATCGGATATAACCAGCAAGAGTTATGGACTGTCAAAGTTTTGGACAGTACTACTTGTGGACCAATATTTTTTTTGCCCAAATCCTATCATGCTATATATCAAAACACGTCTCCTTTTCCTCAGCAGCTTAAATCTGATGGAATTATTTAAGTCAAATTAATTTTGGACCTATGGCAGTTCCAGTTCCATCTCATACTTGAATATCACCAAATGTTCAAAAGTTGACTAGCGGCATGTTGTATATCAAAAAACTATCTTTTTTTTGTCAGTGTTTCTAATCTGACGGAATTATCTTAGTCCAACCTGTAGTTGTGGACATATGGCAGTTCCAGTGTATTCTAACCTGTACCTGCACATATCGAAAGTTTTACTTTTACCTGGTTAATATATATTTTGACAGAGATTGTTATTTAATAGATGCCACTATTTTCATAATTTTTCGTCAACCGGTTTTTTCGGAAAATTGATTGGAACCAAAACTGAAAAAATTACTGATTTTCACATTTTCTTGTTTTTCCAGAAAACTATGATAACATTTGAAAATCTAAAGATGTAGTTTTGTAGAACATAACCTTAGCCATAATTTCCAAATTTTTTGATGGAGTAATAACAATCTCTGTCAAAATATATATTAAACAGGTAAAAGTAAAACTTTCGATGTGTGCAGGTACAGGTTAGAAAACACTGGAACTGCCATATGTCCACAACTACAGGTTGGACTAAGATAATTCCGTCAGATTAGAAACACTGACAAAAAAAAAGATATTTTTTGTATATACAACATGCCGCAAGTCAACTTTTGAACATTTGGTGATATTCAAGTACGAGATGGAACTGGAACTGCCATAGGTCCAAAATTAATTGGACTTAAATAATTCCATCAGATTTAAGTTGCTGAGGAAAAGGAGACGTGTTTTGATATATAGCATGATAGGATTTGGGCAAAAAAAATATTGGTCCACAAGTAGTACTGTCCAAAACTTTGACAGTCCATAACTCTTGCTGGTTATATCCGATTCCAAAAATTTTTGCAGGACGCAATTGGACGTAATTAAGAGATCAATTTTGATGTATAATATGTCTAATAAAGTTAATATTTGGAAATAATGCCGTTTTAAAACCTGAAGTACCACGGCATAATTCCCAAAAATGGAACCTGCTATATCCAGCCACAGGAAGTAGGACACAATTATTTTTTTATTGGACGCAATTGGACGTAATATGGACTTAATTCTGGCAAAGTTTCAAAGTGATTGGACACTTCATGCCGTCGTACTTCAGTCACACACAAAGAAAAAGGGTTTACCTGTTGATAATGTAACATTTGGAAATTTATTGGACTCAGTTAAGAAAACATCAGGATCCACAGGTATAGTTGATGTATTGTTTGATGGCCCGCTAAAAATGTCTATAAAAAGTTTTTACTGAACATGAATTTTTTTCTCAATTGGAAAATGTATTTCTTTACCAGCATTCAGCCAAATTTCATAATCTGTATTCCACATTTTATTAAGAATAGATATTGAATTTGTGAAAACATCTGTCGACTTAAAATCAATCTTAATTCCTTTTTGTTTTTCTTTAGTAGTGTTCTTATTAAAATCCCATATTTGAGTAAGAAAGCTTTCCAAAGTTAAGTCAGATTCGACATCTAAATTAAAACCGTTTGAAAAATAACAAAATTGTTGGTATTTATTCAAACTATTGTACCTGGTGGATGTGCCATAATAGGTTGTTGTGTTTTTGATTCGTCATTTTTTAGGTAGCCAAAAACAATATCAGCTTCAATAAAATTTATATCAGCTTAAAAATATAAAAAAGAAAGAAAAAATCATGATAAGATTATATTTACAATCTTCAAATAGCTAATCAACTTAAAGATATTTCAATCATAAGTTAATACCTTTAGCCCATATCACTGAATTAATTATAAAATATGCTTACAAGAAAGAACTTCGTTCAATAATTTTTGTGAATTTGTTGCATGACTCCAAGTTATTGCTGTAAGGTTCTTAACAGTTTGCCCATTTGTCATATGTATCATTATTATGAAAACTAAAATTCAAATAAAACAATTTAGTAATAAACTTAAAATCAAATTAACATGTGATTTTTTTAATGCATTTGCATGATTTATAAAATTATTTGAACATTTAAAATTAATTTGCTTACGAATATCATATAAAATGATTGAATTTTTTCTTAGCATTTTGCAAGCTATAACAAAATAATGAGGTAAATTTTATATCGATGTTTACACTTTCGCACTTAGTTGATTACTAAGAATATTAACTCCTGCTTTAGTCTCATTTTTCAATTTTTGATTGAAGGTAAAGTAATGTTATGCAAAAAGATATAAATAAGTCGACAGCGACACATAGTAGAGAATTTCAGAAGCTATCAAAAAGTAGCGGGAAATAAGAATCAATTCACTTTTTTTAATACTTAGAGCTTTTCAAGAATATTCAATGATGATTCCTTTTCAAAATATATTTTTTGATTTAAATAAATTTTAAAATCTAAATGTGGTAAGAATTTTTTAAAAAAAATGTTCCTTTATAATCCTGAAATAACTAGAAGAATGTGAGAACTTCTTGTCATTCTACTGAAATAATATAAAAGTTAAGCTTGTCATTTTAAAATAACAAAACGAATAAGTTTTCATGGAGAATAAGTATTCTCTCATTTATTAAGTAAATCAATCTCATTTTGATAATATTTATTTGGAGATTATTTTTTTTTAAATGTTACTTTAGTCTTTTCTAATTTTTAAGACCAGCAAGACATACAAAATTTCTATTATTTTTTTTTTGTTTTTAAAATGATAAGGAAATATTTTCAAGCACAAAATTCAATAACGATAATCTCAATAAGGTTCTGTTCTGCTGCAATTCAAAGTAAACCAAAATTGAGTTATTACCATCGAATCGAAGGGGAACCTTTTAAGTATAATACTATCGGAGAACTCCTTCAGAATGCTGCTGAAAAATATGGCGAAAAAGTTTCATTGGTAACGTACAGCGAGAAAAAACGAATAAGTTTTGCAGAAACTTTTGAAAAGGTGAGCAGAATTCATATTGATGATTGCAGTAATTAATAATTTATTTTTAACGAAAAGGCTGATTGTTTAGCTAGTTCCTTAATGAATATTGGTTTAAAAAGGGGTGACAGAGTAGCTATATGGTCTCCAAACTATGAATTTTGGTATATTAGTATGATGGCGATAGCCAGAGCTGGTCTTGTTTGCGTAACACTTAATCCTGCTTATACAATTAATGAACTTAATTATTGTCTTGAAAAAGTTGGCATTAAAGCAGTTATCGCTCCAGAAGTTTTCCGAACTCAAAAGTATTTCGATATGCTAACTCAATCTTTAAAAAAAGAAGCATCATCAAAGATTTTACTGGAGCACATAATTATTTATGGAAATCAAAAACTTCCGTAAGAGATTTCAGGATATTCTTTTAGACATTTTCATTTTATTTTTTTATTTTTTGAAAAATTTCACTTTAGAGGTGCATTTAATTTTGATGATCTTATAAAATCTTCCTCTGAAAATGATAAACGAAAAATTAATGAGCTCCAAGCATCAATTTCTCCCGATTCAGGCGCTATGATTCAATTCACGTCTGGAACAACAGGAAAGCCAAAGGCAACTCTTTTATCACACTTTGGGATGGTTAATAACAGTTACTTTATCGGTAAATTTTTTTTAACCCCATGCATTATTACCAAAAAAATATTGCTAAGCTTAACTCCCTTTGCTTGAATAGACCTAACGGAATTATTTCTTACAGGGCTCCGAAATGGTTTTCATAAAAAAGATTACAAACTATGCATTCCACTTCCTCTTTTTCATGTTGGCGGATGTATAATTAGCTTATTGGGATCACTGCATCATGGAAGAACATTAGTATTTCCAGCACCACACTTTGATGGAGAAGCAATGCTAAGATCAATAGTAGACGAGAATTGTAACTTTTTCGCTGGAACTCCAACGTTTTGTGTAGATTTACTTGCTAAGCAAAAATTATTGAACCTCCCTCTGCCAGAAATTGAAATGGCTTGTTTAGGAGGAGCTGATTTAAGTCCACAAATTGTAAAAGATCTAACAGAGGTATTAAAGGTAAAAAGAATTACATCTGTATATGGAATGACTGAAACGTCTTCAGCTGTTTTCCAAACTCTCCCTGAAGACAATAATCAGTCTGTTGAGGAATATGTAGGAGTTGTTGGTAATAATGTTGAAGCAAAAGTAATTGATAAAAAAGGAAATTTAGTTCCTTTTGGACAGCCAGGCGAATTATGCATTAGATCAAAAGTGAATATGATTAAATATTGGAATGAACCAGAGAAGACCAAGGAAACTTTAGGAGAGGATGGATGGTATAGTATACTTTAAGTTATTTATATATATTAAATATCATCATTATTATTTCGTTTAAAGGCTTAAAACAGGGGATCAGTTTATACTTAATGAGAATGGATACGGCAAAATTTGTGGAAGATTAAAGGATATGATAATTAGAGGAGGCGAAAATATTTTCCCTAAAGAAATTGAAGATTTCCTCAACACACATGGAAATATTTTAGAAAGTCAAGTGGTAAGACTGAAAACAAAACTTCTACTAGTCCTGTAAAATAATCATACTCAACAATTTAGATTGGTGTGCCTGACAAACGAATGGGGGAAGAAGTATGTGCATTGTTCAGACTAAAAGATCAAACTAAACTCTTAACGCAGGAAGATATAAAAAATTTTTGCCAAGGAACTTTAGCTCACTTTAAAATACCAAGATATACTATAATTGTCAGTGAGTTTCCAAAAACTCCATCAGGAAAAATTCAAAAGAGCAGATTTGGAAAATTCTTTAAAAATCAACTTGATAATCTCAAATAAAAACTTTATTTTCTTTCACCTAAAGGCTTAATTGTTATTTGAGATACATTTACATTCCATGGTGTACTTAACAGGTACAAAACTCCATGTGAAATATCCTCAGCAAAAATATGAGCAACATCATTGTATGTATCCTTTGAAGGATAAATTTTTCCTCTAACCATTATTTCTGTTTTGACTACACCTGGACTTAAATTTGAAACTCGAATCTTATCATTTCCATTTGTAATTAACTCTTGTCTTAAAATTTCACTAAATGCTGTTAATGCAAATTTAGTTGGAGAATAAACGTTGGAAATATTTAATCCACTGTAAACATTGTGACCAGCGATCGAGTTTATATTTACTACCAATCCATAATCGTTTGAATTTTTCATCAAAGCGATAGCTTTTCTCGCACAATGAACTGCACCCGTAAAATTTGTGCTGATAACACTGTTTATTTTCTCCGTTACCTCGTCACTCGAATCAAGAATGCTCAAATTATGTAATATTCCAGCATTGTTTATTAATATGTGTATACACGAAAATTCTTTTTCGATCCAATCAAATGATTCTTTTAATGAGTCTACATTAGAAACATCACATGCTCGAGTAAAAATCTTTTCCTTAATTTCTCCTAAATCATTTTTAAAATATTCAATCGTTTCGACATTTCTTGCTAGTCCAATAACTGTTATTCCATTTATTGCTAAATCTTTTAAAATCGCCAATCCAATTCCACTTGATGCTCCAGTAATTACTGCAATTTTATTTTTCCACTTTTCCATTGCTAATGAAAATTAATACTAAAGTTTTTCAATCATATAAAATGATTAACTTAATGTCGTCGAGTATTTTAATCAATTCAGAAGAAAATGATAAGGATAATATTAATCTCAACAAATTTTCGTCAAGAGTAGCCGCATGTTTTTTATTTTAACTGCTTACAATTCTTCCTATGTATTGTGGTTGATTTTTGTAATAAGATTAATTTTACTTTTGCATGCAATCTCTTTTGAAATTGCTCATATTAGGTCTAATAATGATCATTACTAATAAGATAATTGTTTGCTAACGTAAATTGCATAAAAACTCAAATATCTACATATAAAGTGCTACATTCAATATGATATGCCAGTAGTCGAGAAATGAAGTGCTTATTAACAATAGTATTTTGCTTGTTCGTTACACAAAAATCTATATCCTTGCCAGTAAGCTAAACCACTTGCTTAATACCACGTTTTTAAATTTTTTTTTTGATTGTTCAGATTAGAAATATCCCATCAAATTCATTGGCAAATATCATTGAAAAATCAAGTCTATTTTTGACTGATCAAAAAGGATTTCATCCAGATCTAATACAAATATCTATAAAAAAATTTAAAAATGATGAGGATACAAGCGAAGTAAGTTTATTGTAAATAATCCTAAGCATTTATTAATTAATTTTGAGTTTTTAGATGGACATTAATCAAGAGGAACGACAAATTCCAGTTATATCGGACATTGAGCGAATTAAAAAAGTGATTGAAATCATAGAATTTGTCGGAGAAAAAGTTGGTGATTTATTTGATAAAATTCAATCTACAGATCCAAATGAACAAATTTATGACTTTAAAAGTTCGGAAATGAATACAACAGACATGTAAAATAATTAAACAATTTCTGATGGTGCAAATCCCTTTCTTTCTGCAAGATACATTAATAAAATTTTAATTTCTGCTCGCACTTTCAAGCTTTCTTCTCGTATCACTTCGGATTCCTTATTTAATATTTTAATTTTCTGTCCAAGAAATTTAAGTGCTTCTTCTATGCTTAATTCTAAATAAACATTTAAGCCTACATTTATTAGAATTGGCTCTATTTTATCCACAGATGCTTCCATGAACATATTAGTGCCAACATCAATTTGCGTTTTAAATCCATCGGATTTATTCGTTTTGATGAATTCTATTGTTTTTTCTAGCTGTATATATTCCATAACATCCTCATTTGATTTGTTTAATGCATTTTCCAGATTTCCCAATTCAACTTTAAGCTTATCATTTAAAAAATATTCAATTTCTTCGGTAGATTTTGGACGAGACATTTCTCATTCCTAAAATGATGACTTATGAGCATAGGATGAATAATTAAATAAGACGGAATAAACTTACAATTTAAAAACTTTAATAAAATTGATTCTTCTTTAATAGCTTGTTTTTAATATAAATTATCTAGCACTTCCTACGAAAATTGTTTGTAAACAACATATTTTTTTAAAAAAAAGTCATCGAATGAAACTGAGCAACTGTTATAGGGTTGGTATCATGCATTTCAACTGTTGAGCATTTGGCGGTAAAATATTGTTAATGACTAGCTACACAAAGAACGAACAACTGAATTCAAAAAGAATAAGATTATTAATTTTAAATTAAAGTCTGTTAACTTTTTTAAGGGGGTTGGGTTGTGCATTTTTTTTTTTGTTTGTAAACTGATAGAAACTTTTTGTATGATATATGAAGAGCATAATTATGCTGCAATTTAAAATTTCAATATTCTATGTATTAAGTAAAATAATCTGTATGCACTTAATTGCCTACAATTTAATAAAGGGGAAGCATAAACATAAAAACAACATTTTAATATCACATGAATAGCTCAATCATCTAGCCACCCTATGTTCACACTAAACCATGCAAACAAAAAAATATCTTTTTACGCGAAATATTTTTTTAGCCGCCATTAAAAGATTTTTTATGATTTTTCTGTCTAAACTAGCGTAATTCGTGTTATCTGATATCATTTAATTTCCTATTAAATGTATTTGGTGATTAACACTAAGCACAAACTAAAATTGATTCAATTTGTAAGTGTTAAATGCTAGAATTATGATTTTGTCTCATGCATAGAAGATATTATACCTCATCTGATTTTTTTTTATGTACAATAGAAAGAAAAAAATATTTTTTTCCGAAAAAAAATTATCACAACATAAACAAAACAGAAAAAAAACGTGCGTGTATGATTTTTAACTGGAAATAATTTTTTTATATGCCTTATTTCAGTTGTAAACATTAACAATACAATATATATTCTAAATGATTATGGCAGAAAATGGTATGGAACGGGAAGTTCCCTCGCGAAAAGAATCAAATTGTGTAAGATGTAGGAATCACGGTTTAAAAATACTTTTGCGCGGACACAAACAATATTGTCCTTATGCTTCCTGTGCGTGTGATAAATGCCGATTTACAGCAGGTATTACTTTCACGATTTTTTTTAAGATTACATTTCATTGCTAATGTATGAATTTAAAAAAAATCAGAACAACAACGTCAGATGCGACTTCAAAATGCCATAAGACGAGCGGAAGCAACTGATAGAGGAAATAATGGTCAAAGAAGATCTCGAAATTCTGCACCTACAATGGTCCAAACTCCCCAACAAACGCAACAGCAGCAAACACAGCAGATAGTTGTCACTGTTCAAAATAATGCACAAGTCAATGGAACTAGTGGTAGGTTTATTAAAATGCTTTGATACAATTCTTCTTCTCACTCACATCAAATGCATTGCATGAGAACATGTTTCTTATTTTCCTTCATTCACTTTTCTCTTGGTCTCTGCTTTCTTATATTCGGCATTATTTTATATAACTTCGACAAATTGTCTATATACAATGAACGTTCCTTTTTATAGATAAAAAACTACTTTTTGACTGCAGCTCAGAACTATTGAAAAAGTTTCGATATCCTTGGGAAATGATGCCGATTATGTATGCATTAGCCAAATATGCTAACGGAAATATCGATGAAGTGCTTCAAAAAATAGACGAAGGTAAAATAAATTAAATTTAAACTGTTATCTCATAAATCAGCTTAAGATTAACATAATTCTAGGGCAATATGCTGTAAACGAACAGTTGAGATTGCAGACTCTTAACATGTATTTTGGGGCAGCTCAGACAAATTCTGCTGTAGCAAATGCTACAAGAGAGTGTGGATAAATAGATTACAAATAGTTGAATTGGATAGAATCAAGAAAGAATGAAAAAACAATTCAATATACGCGCATACAAGTCTTTCAAAAAATGTCATTAATAAGTACAATTTAATTTTTAAATAATTTTCTAACTCTCAAGAGTTGGATGTAAGAAAACAAAACGAGAAAAGGAAATGAGTGTCACTTTAGAAAATGAAAATATTCTATATATTCACCTTTTATCACTGACTTTAAATAAGATTATTATGAAAACAGACAAAAATATACAAAGAAACAAATTTTCGTGTCATAAAAATCATCCAAATTACCACTAGTTAACTATTATCATTATTAAGAATCATAAAAAATTCAAAATCTGTCTTCGACTAAACATTCACACGTGAATACGGAGTGATTAAAATAATTAGAAATTCAGTGTTCATTTTTCTCATGATTTTTACAAAAAGAAATTAATTATGATATTTTTTTAAGTAATAACAATTTATTTCTATCAATTTATGAAGAATTGAAATTGTTAAACAAACGATTTCTATAAAAGAATTATTGCTGATGGAAAAATGAACAAAGAACATCTAAATTCAAGAGTCAACTCTTTAATCTGATTACAGTTGATCAATTTTTTTCTTTTCATAAGGTTTTAAAGGATAATATGCCAGATTTACCTCTGAATTCGTCACGCACTATTTTTTGGATTGTTTTTAAAAATTATAGGAAAAGCCAAAAATCTACAAACCCCTAAAACTATAGTTTAGTACTGAAAAATCCTGAAAAATGATCTCAAATAGATCACAATAATTAAAGAGTTGACATAAATTGAGATCTTATAATCATTTATTAAGTAAAAGTGAAATCAGCCGTGGAGCTTTTTAAATTAAAAGAGAATTAAAAATGTAGAACTCAGAGTCACCTAAAAGTGTCATAAATTTTTTAGCAATGTATATGATGCAATATAGTATAGATAATCTTTTTTAAAATCATAATATGCTAATTTTCCTTTTATTCTATCGTATTATTTTAAATACATATTTTGATTTGGTCGAAATCAAGGATTAAAGATCCAACTCTTTCTAAGTATACATAAGATGTAATAATATAAACGAAAGATTTAATAAGAATATTAAATTGAATGATACAAATTCATATTCTTTTTTTTTAAAAAAAATATTTTTATTCGCAAAAGTGTCTTCGAATGATAATTAAAAACTACATTTCAATCTTTATCATACAATTTTTTTTCTTGGAAAACTGCACATATATGTTATGAACTAGCATATGATATAAATAAGTGAAAAAAGATGATCCTTTTTAAAAAAAAACTATCTACAGGAATAATATTATGACAAATTATATTTTCATTTTTATCTATTTTATTAGTATCTATTAAGAATCTTGAATTATAAATGCATGATGATCTTTGCAAAACGAACAAAAAAATAATAATTCATTAATACATAAATAAAATCATAAAACTCATTAATCTTTATTTTTTTTTTGAACAATGAGAAACATAATTAGAATAAGGAATTAAGAAATAATCTTCAAATGTAAAATCTATCAAGATATTAGAATAAACACAATAAATGAAAAAGTGATTAATTATAGAATTGTATCTATAATTCTAATCTAGCTTTTGCTTTGTGATAAGATTCGATTATTTTATCGACTGACTGTAATCGTGTATTTATGAAGTTTAAATTTTGAGTTTGTCTAATTTGTTGAATTTTTATTTTCAATTTTCCTGTCGAAACTGTAGAATTTCCATAACGATTATGAGCTTTAGTTGGATTATGATTAATACTTCTAATACCACCCAAAAAGAATCTTTCAAGTAAATCAGTAAGTAAACTTTCATTATGCAAGTATCGAAAGCATTCTAAATCAAATTCTGTATTTCTAAGTTGAAATTGTAAGGGAATATTTAGAGAAGCAATTCCTTCATGTTTTTCACGATGCCATAGAGAATCTATTGATACAACATTAAATATTAGGGCAAGCTTTTCAGATTCCATTGACAACAGAGAAACTTCATCTTCAATATCAATCACGATAGAGGCACAATATCCAAAATGCCAAATACTTTGATTCATAAAACTAGAATGTGTAGATCCATTAAGTACACCTTCAACCAACTTAATGTTATATGGAAGTTTAATTTCATATTGGACATGGATATTATCGTTTTCAAAATTTTCAGCACTTACTATTTCTAAAAGAAGCAAAATACGATGTTTAGGAAAATTAAAAGATTCCTGATTTTTTTTAATATCTATCATTTTCTTCATTATGTCTCCTGTTTCTTTTACAATCTCATCTAATTTTTGCTTTTGTTTTAATTTTTTTGTTGCTTTATTGCTTACTTTAGATATATTTTCTATGTAGTATGTGTACATTTGTTTGCTATTTTGATCTATTTCCAGATAGTAACAATTCTCATTATCATTAAAATCTGGATAAACTATGAGCAATCCATCTGATTTTCGATATTGAACTGTAAAAAGTAAAACTGCCGGTTCGAGATCTGCCATAATGTGCATTTTTAAAAAATCCTTTTCATAATTAGCAATATTACCATTGTTCAATTTGGAATCAATAAATAAACTAGAAGATTTTTCACAGCTTTTAATCTCATCTGTAATTTCTGCTGTATTTTTTTTACTTTTCCTAAAACTCTGTAGTTCTAAATACTCTCTTGGCAAATAAGCATCGTCATTAATATACGTAAATATTAATTGTTTTTCGTTGACATTTGGATTTTCTCTTATTAATGCATGATATCGTTTCTCTAATTCAGATTTACAATTTTCTTTTTGTTCATAATATTTCACTTCTGTTTTACTGAAAATTTTTTGCTGCCAATCCAGTTCAATGGTTTCGGCAAAATCTGTAGACTGTTGATCTACTGATACTGAAGGAATCGATAGTATCTTTTCAAATTTTGGAATTTGTATAATGGAGTAAAGTTTCTTCAAATTAATTCTAAAAACATAATTTGTTATCAGTCCAAAACATTTCAGAAGTAAAGTTAAAAGAAATCCACCTACCTTATCTTGAAATTATCTATTTCATCATTTGTGCGGTAAATTCCAGTATATCTATTATTTAATCGTTTCTTCATCATTTTTAAAATTACTTAAAACGAAATGTTTGACTGAACATTGATTTGTTTGTGTGCATGAAAACCATGACAACGTAAATGAAAAATAAATCAATTTATAGTTTTAACAGAAAATTTTATTTCGATTTTAATAATACGGAAATAACTTTTTCAAAACATAAAATGAATTCGAATTAAAAGGTCTCAAAATATTGATTTTTTTTTCTTTTGGAGACCATAATTTGAAAACAAACAGAACTAGAATTTAGAATTGTTTTAAGGAATTATGGCAAAGGATATATTTCATTATTTTTAATTCATTGAAGATGAACAAAGTGCCATTTATTGATGGATTCACTATATGGTTCTGGATCACCACCCTCTGTTGCTTTTGCAAAAGCTTCTTCGGCTTGTTCACTGCTTATAGTAAACGGAGTTCCTTCATTTACTACGGTTGCACTAAAGAGATGAGTTTAAAGAAAATTAATCTTTGGATGTGAACGAAAAGATAAAAGTTTTTTTTTGGGAATTTACCAGATTTTGTGGATTATAAAAATAATATAAATGCGAGGGAATAGCGATAAAAGGATTAAAAGAACTTACCAGCTAATTTTGTTGCTTTCAACTTCTTTGTTGATTAATCGCTGCCAGAAAGTGTGTGTCTCAGTAATGATATTTTTGGCAAAAGCAGCATTTTTTGCCTCACTATTAAATGCAAATTGATTTTCAGGCTTGCCATCTGGGACTTTATAAAATTTAAACCATTCAACAGTTGCTCTCAAAAGTCCTGGGAAGAATTTTTCAATATCTTGAACATCTTCTAATTTATCGGCAACAGGATCGTTAACATCAATAGCCAAAACCTTCCAATCTGTTTCTCCTTCATCGATCAATGCAAAAGTACCAAGAACTTTTACTTGAATTACATCTCCACGTTTAGCTACTCTTGATCCAATTTCACATACATCAATCGGATCATTGTCACCGACACATCCGGTACCTTTATCAATATGCCCTGGATATTCCCATGTTTGTGGTAAAGCTCCATAATTCCAAATGTAGCCATGATGAGGAAATATGTTAGCTACAAAGCGCAATTTCTCCTTTTTAATATCTTGTTTAATAGGATTTAATTCTTCATTTAAAGTAATCTAAAGACAGTTTTTAAATAAATTATTAATCATGCTATATTTCAATTAATCGATCTACTCACTTCCATCTTTGCGTTTGTCCATCTTGGAACTTCTACAACCATATTAAAGACTTGTGTACTGTTATTAGCATAAAGAGGAATGTCGTGCAAAGGAGAAATCGGCGTTCCTGCTTCATTCTCTATAGAATAATCCCACAAAAAATAAAGTGAAAGGGTAAAAGTTTAATGTCGTGGCATTAGAAAAATATACTGTATTTAATAACAAAAAATATATTGAAATTTGTTTTGATTAAGTCACTGATAATGCATTTTTTTACATCCAGTGAATCCTCTTAATAAACATACTATAAAATTACAGAGATTAATAAAATCAATTCACCGGAGAAAAATTTATCATGAAAAGGTTAAAGTTATTCAAATCTGTAAAGTATTGCAACTTACTGAAGAAAATTCGATAATCCTTTGAATTTGGAACACCTTTAGACACTGCTTCAAACTTTCCTGCCATTCTCGCGAATGATCGAACTCGAATTAAATTAATGTTACTAAATCTTATAAGCGAGCACCGTAGAATTTTTATAATCATTTCATAAGCCTAGTTTTCTTCAAGGGATTCAATTTTAAGTTAGCCGTTAAAATTACAACAAGTATTTATTTAACTTATCTTTTCATAAAAGTTATTATTTCCAACCCTATTATGATTGAATAAAACTTCTAATTCATATTCTACAGGTTTTGATTCCGATTAAATAAATTATTTCATACTTTTTTGATCTCACAATAAAGCAATAATGTACAAAGAATTTCAAGTGTATATTACCCAAAACAGTTTGCAGAGCCTTGTATGAAGGAGTTGCAAAATCTTAATTGAAAAGGATTTATAAGTTTAGGCAAGAAAGAGAGATTCGAATTAAGAACAAAAAGATTAAGAGCTAGTGTATCGGGTAGAAACCCAATGCGGATATATTCACACCGTACCATCAAAAGTCTTATGGATAGACCAAGATTTGCTCAGCATAAGTTTGAAGGGTGGGCGTGAAGTACGGCCGAGACCCATATCGACACAGTTCAAAAGTTATACCTAATTTATGTCATAATTATGTCAGCTACAAAAACACTTAGTTTGAATTTTGTCACCCTCGGGAACACTATGAACCAGTATAGCTGATTTTGGTCCAAATCTCGGCCATACTTCACACTAATTTAAACCACATTTTCTCGTAAATATTAAAGAATTTGTTTTTTGTTTCCACAGTGAAGAGTATGAACAAAATTCAGATGGGGTAGTCGAAATTTTAGATTTCGATTTCTTTTAAGGGGCCGTTCACTTATTACGTTACGCAAGAAAACGACTTTTTTCACCCCCTTCCCCCTTCCCCCTTGTTACAATATGTTACAACTCACACCCCCCCCCCCCCCTGAACGTTCATAATTTATTTTATTTTGATAATTTTTTATTCTAAAAAGACGGTTAAATTTCTTTTGTATTTTTTTTCTTAAACATCAAAATACTGTACAGCTAAATAGGTCATGTTTTGATTGATACTATTAGTATTCTCATGAATTATTGGATTGAGATAAAAAGCAAAAATTTGTTTTTTAAAGAAAATTCGAAAATGTTATGAAAAATATTACGCCCGATCGCATTTTGGAAAATTTAATTAACTTTGAATATGAATGACAGATTTAGAGAGATTTACTTTTAAACTTATGATTGATTTAATTTTGAAAATTTCCACAAATTATGATTGTATTTTAAAGTTTTGTAAACCAGTTTTCTATTGATTTTTAACTTTATAAAACAAAAACTGTGTATTGCTTAGCTTTAAAAAGAGATCTGAACATTTGTAAATCATTAAAAAGGTGGAAAATTTAAAAAAAAGTTTTTGGTGTGAATTATTAAACAAAATTTTTTCGTGAACTTTTTTTTAAAAGGCAGACGACAGTTTGAACGTTACATACTTCTTGACACCCCCCCCCCCCCCCCCCCTTATGTTACATTTGGTTACAATTTTCAAACCCCCTCCCCCCTGAAATGCGAACGCAATAAGTGAACCGCCCCTAAGCTATGCATTACAAAATATAATGTTGGGATGTGATTTATGTCTTTTTTTAGCAAAGAACCAAGAAGGAAATACATTTTCAATTTTGGACTAGGGGCGACCCTAGTCAAAATCAATTTAGTCACTTTTTTCTTCGAGGGTTTATTAAAATGGATTGAAACTTTGCATAAATATTCTAATGCTTAAAACAAATTCAAATAGAACATCCTTACATTTTTCTGAGCAAAGAATCAAGTAGGAAATGCATTTTCAATTTTGGACTATGGGCGACCCTAGTCGAAAATGTTAAATAGTAGCTACTATTGCACCACTTTGCACCATAAATTCACTGCATCATGCAATAATGTTATATAAAATTTTTTGTCATGTTTTATTGATTTAAGAACATTTGCACAAATTGCTTTGTCAGTTTGAGCAATTTCTGTGAAGTTCTAGCAGATTTGTAGTCGAAAATGTTAAAAAGTAGCTATTTTTGCACTTAATTGGATCATTAATTTACTGTTTCTTTGAAATAATGTTAAACAAATTTTTTGTCATGTTTTATTGATTTAAGATCATTTGCTGAAATTGCTTTGTCAGTTTGAGCAATTTCTGTATAGTTTTGGCAGATTTTTAGTCGAAAATGTTAAAAAGTAGCTACTTTTGCACTACTTTGCACCATAAATTCACTGCATCATGCAATAATGTTATATAAAATTTTTTGTCATGTTTTATTGATTTAAGAACATTTGCACAAATTGCTTTGTCAGTTTGAGCAATATCTGTGAAGTTCTAGCAGATTTGTAGTCGAAAATGTTAAAAAGTAGCTATTTTTGCACTTAATTGCATCATTAATTTACTGTTTCTTTGAAATAATGTTTACCAAAGTTTTTGTCATGTTTTATTGATTTAAGAACATTTGCACAAATTGCTTTGTTAGTTTGAGCAATTTCTGTGAAGTTCTAGCAGATTTGTAGTCGAAAATGTTAAAAAGTAGCTATTTTTGCACTACTTTGCACCATAAATTCACTGCATCATGCAATAATGTTATATAAAATTTTTTGTCATGTTTTATTGATTTAAGAACATTTGCACAAATTTCTTTGTCAGTTTGAGCAATTTCTGTGAAGTTCTAGCAGATTTGTAGTCGAAAATGTTAAAAAGTAGCTATTTTTGCACTAGGTTGCAGCATAACTTCACTGTTTCTTTGAAATAATGTTAAACAAATTTTTTTGTCATGTTTTATTGATTTGAGAACATTCGCACAAATTGCTTTGTCAGTTTTAGCAATTTCTGTGAAGTTCTAGCAGATTTGTAGTCGAAAATGTTTAAAAGTAGCTACTTTTGCACTTAATTGCATCATTAATTTACTGTTTCTTTGAAATAATGTTAAACATATTTTTTGTCATGTTTTATTGATTTAAGATCATTTGCACAAATTGCTTTGTCAGTTTGAGCAATTTTTGTGAAGTTCTAGCAGATTTGTAGTCGAAAATATTAAAAAGTAGCTACTTTTGCACTTAATTGGATCAATAATTTACTGTTTCTTTTTTAATAATGTTAAACAAATTTTTTGTCATGTTTTATTGATTTAAGATCATTTGCTGAAATTGCTTTGTCAGTTTGAGCAATTTCTGTATAGTTCTGGCAGATTTTTAGTCGAAAATGTTAAAAAGTAGCTACTTTTGCACTACTTTGCACCATAAATTCACTGCATCATGCAATAATGTTATATAAAATTTTTTGTCATGTTTTATTGATTTGAGAACATTTGCACAAAATGCTTAGTCAGTTTGAGCATTTTCTGTGAAGTTCTAGCAGATTTGTATTCGAAAATGTTAAAAAGTAGCTACTTTTGCACTTAATTGCATCATTAATTTACTGTTTCTTTGAAATCATGTTAAACAAATTTTTTGTCATGTTTTATTGATTTGAGAACATTCGCACAAATTGCTTTGTCAGTTTTAGCAATTTCTGTGAAGTTCTAGCAGATTTCTAGTCGAAAATGTTAAAAAGTAGCTACTTTTGCACTTAATTGCATCATTAATTTACTGTTTCTTTGAAATAATGTTAAACAAATTTTTTGTCATGTTTTATTGATTTAAGAACATTCGCACAAATTGCTTTGTCAGTTTGAGCAATTTTTGTGAAGTTCTAGCAGATTTGTAGTCGAAAATGTTAAAAAGTAGCTACTTTTGCACTTAATTGCATCATTAATTTACTGTTTCTTTGAAATCATTGTAAACAAATTTTTTGTCATGTTTTATTGATTTGAGAACATTCGCACGAATTGCTTTGTCAGTTTGAGCAATTTCTGTGAAGTTCTGGCAGATTTGTAGTCGAAATTGTTAAATAGTAGCCACGATTGCAAGATTGCGCCATAAACTCACTGCATCATGCAATAATGTTGTATAAAATTTTTTGTAATGTTTTATTGATTTGAGAACATTCGCACAAATTGCTTTGTTAGTTTGAGCAATTTCTGTGAAGTTCTAGCAGATTTGTAGTCGAAAATGTTAAAAAGTAGCTACTTTTGCACTTAAATGCATCAATAATTTACAGTTTCTTTGAAATAATGTTAAACAAATTTTTTGTCATGTTTTATTGATTTGAGAACATTCGCACAAATCGCTTTGTCAGTTTGAGCAATTTCTGTGAAGTTCTAGCAGATTTGTAGTCGAAAATGTTAAAAAGTAGCTACTTTTGCACTTAATTGCATCATTAATTTACTGTTTCTTTGAAATAATGTTAAACAAATTTTTTGTCATGTTTTATTGATTTGAGAACATTCGCACAAATTGCTTTGTCAGTTTTAGCAATTTCTGTGAAGTTCTAGCAGATTTGTAGTCGAAAATGTTAAATAGTAGCTACGTTTGCACTTAATTGGATCATTAATTTACTGTTTCTTTGAAATAATGTTAAACATATTTTTTGTCATGTTTTATTGATTTAAGAACATTCGCACAAATTGCTTTGTCAGTTTGAGCAATTTTTGTGAAGTTCTAGCAGATTTGTAGTCGAAAATGTTAAAAAGTAGCTACTTTTGCACTTAATTGCATCATTAATTTACTGTTTCTTTGAAATAATGTTAAACAAATTTTTTGTCATGTTTTATTGATTTAAGAACATTCGCACAAATTGCTTTGTCAGTTTGAGCAATTTTTGTGAAGTTCTAGCAGATTTGTAGTCGAAAATGTTAAAAAGTAGCTACTTTTGCACCTAATTGCATCATTAATTTACTGTTTCTTTGAAATAATGTTAAACAAATTTTTTGTCATGTTTTATTGATTTGAGAACATTCGCACGAATTGCTTTGTCAGTTTGAGCAATTTCTGTGAAGTTCTAGCAGATTTGTAGTCGAAAATGTTAAAAAGTAGCTACTTTTGCACCTAATTGCATCATTAATTTACTGTTTCTTTGAAATAATGTTAAACAAATTTTTTGTCATGTTTTATTGATTTGAGAACATTCGCACGAATTGCTTTGTCAGTTTGAGCAATTTCTGTGAAGTTCTAGCAGATTTGTAGTCGAAAATGTTAAAAAGTAGCTACTTTTGCACTAGGTTGCATCATTAATTTACTGTTTCTTTGAAATAATGTTAAACAAATTTTTTGTCATGTTTTATTGATTTAAGAACATTTGCACAAATTGCTTTGTCAGTTTGA